TGGCAGAGGATTGGAAACGGGTGGGAGGGGGAACACTGATTTAGTAAATCCTCAGTTACAGGATTTAGACAGGTGGTCAAGGCAAAGGCACCTTTTTTCATAGTAACTATCTGTCAGGAGGAGTATTTTTTGGTAAATAAGAAAGTATACGTTCTCAATAAGTGCTGTGGGGAAGGTACTTTCTCGGCAAGAACAATAGAGAAGTGTACTTTCTCAGCAAGTACTATAGGGAAGGGTACTTACTCCATAAGTGCTGTGGGGAAGGTACTTTCTCAGCAAGAATTGTAAGGAAGTGTACTCTCTCCGTGAGTACAAGAAGAATACTTTCTCAGTGAGTACTGTAGGGAAGGGCCCTTTTCCTGTAAACACCACAGGGAAGGCAGTTCCTCTGACCAAGCCTTCCAGGGCAGGCCAGCTTGGGTGCCAGCAGCGCCGTTTTCCTTTGGGATTCTGGGAGAGGTCAGGCAGCATGGTGTTGGCTGGTCTAGACACGGGGGCACAGGCATCGCGGGGAGGGAAAGAGGCTGTCACAGAGCCGTGGCGGTGCCTGGACAGGGGCGTGCTGCCCGGGCGGTGTGTCGCACTGCACTTTCCTTCCTCTCGCTTCCGACGGTGCGAATTTAGAACCCGGGGACATGCCCGGCGGGGCAGGAGGTCATGCGCCCCGCCGCCCAGAGAGAGCAGCAGAGCAGTCTTTTATGGCCCTTCCTTGACGTCGAGGAAGGGCCAGGAGGGAATTTAGACTCATACCCTGAACTGAGAATGGGAAAATGTTTTAAAAGGACCAGAAAGGTTAGGTCGTTTCTTTCCTTCCTCGTTTTTCACACGAGGAGCCACTGAGCACAGACTGACGTTCAGGTTCCTCTGTGATCAGGGAGAGGGCTGACATGATACGCGAGCCTCGCAGACAAGCCCCACCGCCCATTCTTACCCGGGAGCTTGCCCCTCTTCCCTTCACAAGCCTGCCATCAGCTCCTGATGAGGAGAAAAATGAGCTGACGGGAGCCTAAATGACCTTGAGGCCAGACAGGTCCTCTGTGGGAGGTGGAAGGCACAGGAGGGAGGCCAGGCGTTCAGAGGGACAGGCCAGACTGTCCGGAGCTGCACGCGGCAAAGGTTCTGCCTGCCTGCGGGGGCTTCTTCACACAGAGGGGCATGGCACTAAAAGGGCAGGGCAGACAGGATAACCCAGTCCCTTAGGTTCCGTTACAGAAGGGGTGCTGAGGCTCTGAGAGGTTAGGGCCATTATAGGAGAAGCCAGACGTTCTTTCCCCTCCTCCAGCCTCTGGCTGGGCCAGAAGTAAGTGGACCTAAGAGAGATGAGCAGGAGAGAAGCATGCATTTTTTTGTTTTTGTTTTTGTTTTTTTAAAAAAATATATTTTATTGATTTTTTTACAGAGAGGAAGAGAGATAGAGAGTTAGAAACATGGATGAGAGCCAAAACCGATTTGGCCCAATGGATAGAGCATCGGCTTGGGGACTGAAAGGTCCCGGGTTCGATTCCGGTCAAGGGCATGTACCTTGGTTGCGGGCACATCCCCAGTAGGGGGTGTGAAAGAGGCAGCTGATCGATGACTCTCTCTCATCGATGTTTCTAACTCTCTATCTCTGTCCCTTCCTCTCTGTACAAAATCAATATATTTAAAAAAAAAAAAAAGAAGAAGAAGAAGAAAAAGAAAAAGAAACATGGATGAGAGAGAGACATCGATCAGCTGCCTCTTGCACACCCCCTACCAGGGATGTGCCCGCAACCAAGATACATGCCCTTGACCGGAATCGAACCTGGGACCTTTCAGTCTGCAGGCCGACGCTCTATCCACTGAGCCAAACCGGTTTCAGCAGCATGCACGTTTTGTTATTACACCTATGGGAGCCAGAAACTAAAACGTAAGGGGGAGGGGAGAGGCGCTACAGGAAGCTGAGGTCACTGAACAGGGTGTGTTTGCCGAGTTTCTCAGCCCTTTCTTTCTCATGAGAATGTGTTTTCTCTCCGACAGAGAACACAGTTTTCACCTGGGAGTTCCATTTCCTGCTTTCAAGGAAGCGGGAGTCAGAGTGCCCTTCCTGCAGGTGCTGTTTTTCAAGTGCCTTTCACTCAAAACAATCCTATGTCCAAGAGGCATCTTTTGGGCAAAGCCTGGTACCCTTCACCATCCGGCTAATTAAGTAGCAAAATAAGGCCGAAACTAGTTTGGCTCAGTGGATAGAGCGTCAGCCTGCGGACTGAAAGGTCCCAGGTTCCATTCCAGTCAAGGGCATGTACCTTGGTTGCAGGCAAATCCCCAGTAGGGGGTGTGCAGAGGCAGCTGATCGATAATTCTCTCTCATCGATGTTTCTTAACTCTCTGTCCCTCTCTCTTCCTCTCTGTAAAAAAAATCAATAAAATATATTTTTTAAGAAGTAGCAGAATAAGAATCAGGAGCTGGTCTCCCAACTCGTCTGTGGTTCTGTGACTACATCCATTTTTGTCTTGTGTCCGGCACATTCTTCACACACAGCTGCCATCTCCTGCACAGCTCCGAGGCCCAGGCCCTGGGTTCGAGACCTCCAGGTCTATCAGCGTTCCTGCTCCTATTTCATGGGTGAGGATATGGAGGCTCAGATTAGCAAATGGCACTTTCCTGTGGTTCGGCCTGGAATAAGGTGGCCAGACGTCCCGATTTTTAACAATTTGTCCTGCAGGGTTTTAAAAAAACAATTTTTGGTAAAAAATCAGGACTTTTTTTTAAAACACCATGGGACGCGGGACAAATAGTTAAAAATAGGGACTGTCCCGCCAAAAGCGGGACGTCTGGTCACCTTAGCCTAGAAGCACAGCCGAGGTGACAGCAATTTTGATCAGGAGTCAGAGAAGTGGATCCAGAAAAACTGATTTTGCCAAAACCGGTTTGGCTCAGTGGATAGAGCATCGGCCTGCGGACTGAGAGGTCCCGGGTTCGATTCCGGTCAAGGGCATATAACTTGGTTGCGGGCACATCCCCAGTGGGGGGCATGCAAGAGGCAGCTGATCAATGATTCTCTCTCATTGATGTTTCTAACTCTCTATCCCTCTCTGCAAAAAATCCATAAAATATATAGATAGGCTCGCCGGTGTGGCTGCCATGACTCGTGTGGGATGAGCTGCGGGAACGGCTTTCCCTCGGCTCCGCTCTCCTGGATGCATGGTGGGGACCCTTGAAATGACATCGGAGACGAAAACCAGGGCATGCCCACTTTAAACGGAACCTTTCAAAACAGGTACCAACCTCTCCAGGGCCACCTCGGATGGGCTTTGGTGATGCCTCCTGGGGATACTTCCTTTCCTTCGATGCTGCTGAGACCTACAGGTAAGAGTCATATGGGGAACTGTAAAGTGACCTAATATTGGTCCACTTTCCCACCAAAATCATCCCCATTCTTATCTGATTCATGCTGCTGCTACAGATAAAGACCTGGCACCCAGGTCAGAGGAGTGAGGTTCTGGATTTACGTGGACTAGCTGGGGAATGCCCTTTCGTGAGAAGATTTTAAATAAGATTCCAAGCGTAACCTGCTGACTTTCCCCCTGGCTGTGCGTAAGGCCGATGGAACAGGAGAGGCCCTGTCTTAGGGGCTGTTGTTAGCCCAGAGCCCAAATCAAATGTGAACCACACGTAGCATTGGACACCCTCGAGAGAACATTCTCTGAACCACACGTAAGTGTCTGGTCAAGAACACCAAGTCCACAGTCGTTTATTGTAAATCACTCATAGTTCGTACATTTTTTAATGGCAAAGTAATACTGTGAAACACCTGCCGGATGAAGAACTTCGTTGCGATAATCTCCTATTGGCATCACTTCTTTTCTAAAACTTTGAAATTTTAATTTTAAATCCTACATCGTCCCTAAAAGTGACCTGTCTTTGAAGGGCTCCAATCGAAGGGCCAACACTACAAGCCTCTCTTTTGCTCTAACATCTAACACAAAGGGCACACTGTCCCATTAATTCAGCATGCTCTTTACAAGGCAACTCAACACACACAAAGAAATTTTAAATCCAGAAGATATATAACAATCACTTTATATTTTGCTGCAAAACCAATGAAGGCCGCATGCAGGTGGAACATGGGTAGACACTGAGTTCTACATAACGGTCCGTTGGTAATATCTGATGGCCTGAGGTGGAAAATTAATACGCTTCTTTCGCAGAAGCAGCCAAAGTGCATGCATCAGTGGCCTGGATCAACTGGAATATAAATTAGGTGTCTAAACATTGAAATGAGAGACTCATTTGAGCTTCATTTGGGTTCTGGCACATCTGAGTTATATACTTTTAAGATGACGATAGCGAAGACAGCGAAATCAAACGTCCCACCAGCCACTGATTTATGGGACCGGCTGGGCCTACAGCTAGGGACCCACAACTAGCTGGGCCACGAGCAGACCTCGGGCAGCAGAGACAGTGGGGCGTGAACAAGCCGTCAAGAGGGCAAACATAACGAGAGAGCCACTTCGTGTGGCCTCCTTTTTTTTTTTTTTAAGTGTTCAATTCCCGAAGTTAAACAACAAAAACACACAATAACTACAAAACAGAAACGTTCTTTAGTCACTTCTTAGACCCCCTGCTTTGCCTGCCACCTTGCTTCTCTGTTCCTTCCGATAGTGTGTGTGAAAATAATAAAAGCTGGGGTCGTTGGCAGAAAAGAAAACGCTCTCCTGAATCACGTGGGAAGAGTATTAAATTCCTTCATCCTGTCAGGGTTAACATCAGGTGCTGGCACAGGACCAGGTATGCTTGACATGTAGCGACAGCGATGAAAGCACACGTCCAAGATCTAAGATTAAATAATCGTGACACTGACTTACACTTTTTTTTTTTTTCATGGAAAGTTGTATCCTGACTTTGAGACAAATGAAACATCTCCCAGCCACAAGGATTCCACTCCCCGCCCCCTCCCAGGAACCAATGAGCAAGAGAACTACAGAAACAGAAGGCATGAGGGCGGCGGCGGCGGGCGGGGTGGACGGCAGCTCCGGGTTCAAGCACTGCCATCGCCAGTCCTGGCTTTCCGGGCCTCGATCATGGGCTTGGTCGCCCGTTTGCGGTCGGTGGCCAGCCCCAGCCAGCACATGGCGTCGATGAACCAGGTGGTGGGGTTGAAGTTTAAGCCGAATTCACTCGTAGAGTAGTCAAAGGGAAAGGTGTGGTGGTAGTTGTGGAAGCCTTCACCTGGGAGAGAAACGAGCATCGACACAAATCACTCACTGCCTCTCTGCACGGATATTTTAACCACTCACCCATTGAGGACCTACCATGTGCCAGGCACTGAGTCAGGCTCTTGAGAGAGCAAAAGACTCGGTTCCTGCCCTTAAGAAGCTTTACGTAGCCGGCTAGAACAACTCAATGTAAACAAAATAACAACAAAGTTATCAGCATAAAGTCACTAGCTAAATTTCCTCTAAGAATGGAGACATGCTACCATGACTTCAGAGCTGTCCTTTTTTTTTTTTTTTATTGATTATGTTATCACATAATTGTCCTCATCCCCCCATTCCCATCCCAAACCCCTACCCACAGATGCCCCCACCCCCCTGTTGTCCATGGCCACTGGTTAGGCCCATATGTATGCACACAAGTCCTTTGGTTGATCTCTTCCCCTTATTCCCACCCTCCTCTACTTTCCCTCTGAGATTTGAGAGTCTGATCGCTGTTTCTCTTTCTCTGGGTCTGTTTTTGTTCATCAGTTTATGTTGTTCATTATTTCCTCTAGATGTGTGAGGTCATGTGATCCAAGAAATACCCTTGTGAGAACCGAAACTGAGACAAGCCATAATGGTTATGCTGAGAGGCAAATGAATCAGTCTGTAGTGAGTTCCTTTCTGGGCCAACAGTTCTTTTGAGTCCCAATTTCAATGTCAAAGAGTTTCTTATGTGTACATGTCAGCCATGATATTTCAGATCTGGTTGGTGGACAAGAGATGGTCGGACCTGCATCAGAGCTGTACTTCTTAAGCTAAGTGCTGAGAGGCTGGTAACAGACCATCATTTTTATATATGTTCATAAAAAGGAAAACAGCCTCTGAGGACTGGAGTGATTAGAGTGAGTCTTTGGGAGAGCTCGGGAGAAATAAATGAGAATCGTTCCAATAGGTAAGTAAATCAAGGGTTGGATCGTTAACTATATGAACTCTGTCTGTCTACTAGTCTATCCCTCCCAGTGAAGAGCTTTTCCTCCTTTTTGTTAACGCATTTTCAGGAGGAGAGGGGGATTCTTTCAGAACTTCTTTCACTTGATTTTTTAAAAACGTTATTGAGAATTTCTGTTTCTCTGGAGAACCCTGACTGATACAATCTCTATAGATTTGCTTATTCTGAACATTTCATATAAATGAAATCATACTATGTAATCCTCTGAGACTGGTTTCTCTCACTTAGCATAATGTTTTCAAGGTGTGGCAGGTATTAGCATTTCATTTCTTTTTATATGGATATACCATTCATCGTGTCACTATATTTATGCAGTTGTATTTATCCATTCATCAGTTGATGGACATTTGGATTATCTCCATTTTTTAACTATTATAAATAGAGTTGTTACTAGCATTCATATGCAAGTTTTTGTGTGCACATATCTTTTCACTCCTCTTAGGTATAAACTGAGGAATAGAACTGCTGGATTATATAGTCACTGTTTCTTACTATTTAAAGAACTACGTAAGTGGCTACAGGTCATCATATAATTCATCTGTTGACCACATTTGAAGGATTCTGCTCTCCAATGAGTACAGCAGATGGACAGATCTGTGGTCTGCAACTTTCTTCATTTAGGTCTTTTCTACTCTGCCCCTCCATCTTTGTCATTTTTAGTTTTTATTTCCCTGGTCTAGAGAAACCCTCCATCCCCTTATTTTCAGAAATAGTCAGTGATCTGTACAGCTGGGTGTCACTAGAGCCTTCCTAGGCCTGGGAGCCCAGGGTGGATCTGGGTAAACTTAAAACCAATACCCAGCTCCTCACGGTGTCTGCTGTGGCCACATCCTTTGGGCTTCTCAGAACTCCTTCTCTATGTAAAATGGCAACAATCTCTCTGGTCCCCACCCATCTCCACTCTCAGGGTCAACGCTGGACGTGGCTCTCCTCGTTAGAGTCCTGCCAGAAGGTGAAGGGTGACAGGAGGAGAAAGAAATAGGAGGGACAGGAAAGTCTTCCTCCTGTTTTCCAAGCCCTTTTCTCTCTGCTTACTCATCATCCCATCGCCGCCCAGTCTGGCGTCATTCCACCTTAGCTATGCTCTTGTCCACAGAAGACCCCTGGGGTCTTAAATGGAAAACCCTAGCAAAGCGGTGGCGGACAGTCACTGCCGGGGGATGCGGAGATCACCCCTGTTCAAAGCAGGGACTTCTTCTGGGTGTGAGCTCGGTGCTCAGGCTCAGCTCACCGAGAGGCCCAGCTGCTTCCCTAGAGCCAGAGCTATGCTTGCTAACCCCTCGCCGTGTGCCAGCCACAGTGCTAAGCGCTCTCATGAGAACGAATCCCCGCAATCCTCGCACCTCTGAGCGGTGATCATCCCCGTTTTCAAATGAGGATGTAAATGCACAGAAGGAACAAGTCAGTTGCTCAAGACCATATGGTTAGTCATAAAAGCAACACCACGAGAGGCGTATTTTGTGCTCAGTGCTGCTGCAAACGCTATGCATGAACTCATCTAGCCCTCCGACACCCCCCGGAGGAGGTAAGGGCTACTCCTGTTCCCGCTGCACAGATGAGAACCTGAGGTGTGGAGGAGCCAGACAACCTGCCCAGACAGGGTGTGAAGGCACCAGGGCTCTGCCAAACGTGTCGGAATCCCGAAGCCTCACTCTTAACCGTTCTGTGGTGCCATAAGATGCCACAGTTTCATTTCTTCCCATCTCCGTACTTGAAGCCTGTTTCCTTAGGATCAGCCAAATGGACAGCCGAGGCCGGAGTGGTCCAGGCAGTTGGAGAGAGAAGTCAACTGCTACCCTCCGGTAAGTAAATTCCCACGGCAAAACAAATCGCTGCTAATTATTGATCACTGCTCTGTGCCAGGTACTGTACCAGGCAATTTACATTTTAAAAAAAAAGTATCTTACTTAATCCTTGCGACATCCCTATATGGAAGGCATTGCTATTCCCACTTCACAGGTCAGAAGACCGTAAATCAGAGCTTAGGTAACTTGTCCACGAGCCAGGATTCTAACACCAAGGCCCAAGTCCATTCCATCCCACTACTCTGCCTCTCTTTTCAGATTCCACAAAACCAGGAGAAGCCAAGAAAACGGAGCTGCCTTTCTCCCCACGGGCTCTCACCCCCTTCTCACCAATGGCGCCCAGGGTGACCAGCGGGTTCTGCCGCGGGCTGATGTGCTTGTCGTAGGGCCGGTTCCCGTACATGTGGGCCGCACTGTTGACCAGCCAGGTGACGTTGAGTGAGATGGCATAGCGGAGGATGGAGGCCAGGAAGTAGGAATTCCACAGGCTCTCTCCCCAGAGGTACCAGGGCACCAGGGTGGGGACCATGAAGCACATGAGCACCACGGAGATCTTGTAGTACCTGGAAGGCACAGCGTTAGGCTGTCAGTGGGCACCTGCCGATGGCGGTGGGAGAGGCTGAGCAAGCTATGGGACTCGTCGGGAATTGTGCTGGTCAGCAACTTCCACTCTTTCTATATAAGGAATACCCTGTTGTGCGTCACTCTGTACAGGGACCACAGACCCATATACCTACAAGGACCACACAGGTAACACATAATTGAGAATGAGGACAGGTAGGATGCTATAGGGAGTGGTAGGGGCTGTAGCATATTTCAAGGGAATGTCAATGTGAAGTGATAAACATTGTGCTGGCAAAACCTATTTGTCTTAGGGCTGCCTTTGTCCGATAAGCCACCAGTTTGACTATTTCTCCTTGCTATTTCTTCTTCTTCTTTTTTTTTTTAAAAAAAAAATATATTTTTACTTATTTTTTTAAGAGAGGAAGGTAGAGGGATACAGAGTTAGAAACATCGATGAGAAAGAGACATCGACCAGCTGCCTCCTGCACACCCCCTACTGGGGATGTGCCCGCAACCAAGGTACATGTCCTCGACCGGAATCGAACCTGGGACCTTTCAGTCCACAGGCTGATGCTCTATCCACTCAGCCAAACCGGTTTCGGCTCCTAGCTATTTCTTTCATCAATAATTAGGTTTTCTAGAATAATTTCAAGAAGTATTCATTATATCTGGAATAATTCTCAGACACATGATGCTGTGCTAACTTAGCTTGGTAAAAAACAAAGACAACCCTCTCCCCAGAATGTTCTCTGTCCATTCAACTTCACATTTCAAACCAGCATTAAAAAACAAAACAAACAAACAAACAAACAAAAAAACCAACACTAAATAGGAACAGGCATTTCATTGCTTTAATGAAAAAGCAATCATTAAAAAGAAACCATCAATAGTTTGACTTCTGAACCTGTATAACCAGCAAACGTTTACTGAGCACCTTACTATATGCCAGGCCCAAGTGCTGGTGAAATAAAGACAAATTCAACACAGTCCCTGGTCCAGGATTCCGTCAAGTGGAACCACTGTGCATTGTGCTCTGGCCACACAGGACCAGCTCTGTGTGGGGACAGGAGAGGGGCTGTGACAGGAAAGTGTCACGTGTTCGTAGTGATTTCCTCCCTGGCCTCCCATTGGCTAATCAAACCTCCAAGCCTCTGTTGAGACGCATATGTATCATACCTCTTGAATTTTCATGAAAGGCTAACCTTTATTAACTGCTAATGAGTTAGAAGCTCTTCCCCCAAGACCAGAAAGAAAAGGAGAGCTTTTTGTAAGGTTTCTGGTTTGAGGTTTTCTTCCCTCCTCAGAGTCTGTGCATTGAAGGAGTAGCTGTTGGCTAAAATTTATCACAGTAGATGCATGTGGAGAATAAATAAGAACAAAATATGCAGATTATCGTTCATATAATTTTTTTCCATTCCAATAAAATTTTAAGCCACTCCGAAAGAAAAGCAGGAGGGGGAGGCGGGAAGGAAGAGGAGGAAATGGAGGAGGAGGAGGAGGAGGATTAGGAGGAGGAAGAGGAGGAGGAGGAAGAGGAGAAGGAGGAGGAGAAGGAGGAAGAGGAGGAGGAGGAAGAGGAGAAGGAGGAGGAGAAGGAGGAGAAGGAGGAGGAGGAGGAGAGGAGGAGGAGAAGGAGGAGAAGGAGGAGGAGGATGAGGAGGAGGAAGAGGAGGAGGAGGAGAAGGAGGAGGAGGAGGAGAGGAGGAGGAGAAGGAGGAGAAGGAGGAGGAGGATGAGGAGGAGGAAGAGGAGGAGGAGGAGGAGGAGAAGGAGGAGGATGAGGAGGAGGAGAGGAGGAGGAGAGAAGGAGGAGAATGAGGAGGAGGAGAATGAAGAGGAGGAGGAGGAGGAGGAGGAAGAGGAGGAGGAGGAGGAGGAGGAAAAGGAGGAAGAGGAGGAGGAAAAGGAGGAAGAGGAAGAGGAGGAGGAGGAGGAGGAGGATGAGGAGAAGGAGGAGGAGGAGGAGAAGGAGGAGAATGAGGAGGAGGAGAATGAGGATGAGGAGGAGGAGGAGGAGGAGGAGGAAAATGAGGAGGAAGAGGAGGAGAAGGAGGAGGAGGAGGAGGAGGAGAAGGAGGAGGAGGAGTAGGAGGAGGAGGAGGAGAAGAAGGAAGAAGAGGAGGAGGAGGAGGAGGAGGAGGAGGAGGAGGAGGAGGAGGAGGACAGCTGAGCAAGGTGCTATTGGATGTAACTGTGGCAGCAGGTGGCTTCAGCAAGGACAGGGTGAAAAGGTGGGCTGGGAGAGTCCAAGGCGGAGTACAAGAGATGCCTAACCCAGTTACTAATCATAATATCTCATGGAATTCTTATGAGGATCAAACACTAATAACTAACATTCACTGTGTGCTGACTGTGTATCATGACTACTCTGAGACCTTACAAGTACGGACTCATTTCATTCTTTTTTTTTTTTTTTAATATATTTTTATTGATTTTGTACAGAGAGGAAGGGAGAGAGATAGAGAGTTAGAAACATCGATGAGAGAGAGTCATCAATCAGCTGCCTCTTGCACACCCCTTACTGGGGATATGCCCGCAACCAAGGTACATGCCCTTGACCGGAATCGAACCCAGACCCTTCAGTCCCCAAGTCAACGCTCTATCCATTGAGCCAAACCGGCTTCAGCCGGACTCATTTCATTCTAACAGAAACCCTCGGAGGAGTGGACCATCACTATGCCATCTTACAGATGAGAAGTGGAGCGATAGAAAGGTTATCTGGCCCAAGGTCACAAGACTAATAAGTAGTAGGACCAAGATTCAAATCCAGACAGAATCATGTGGGAGATCATCGTGCTATTCTGCTTTGGAAATGAAATCATATATGCAAGCGTGTTTTGTAGCTTGCCAACTTCCCATAAGTACCGGCTTCCATAACAACTTTTTTTTTTTAATATATTTTTATTGATTTTGTACAGAGAGAAGGGAGAGAGATAGAGAGTTAGAAACATCGATGAGAGAGAGTCATCGATCAGCTGCCTCTTGCACACCCCCTACTGGGGATGTGCCCGCAACCAAGGTACATGCCCCCGACCGGAATCAAACCAGGGACCTTTCAGTCCCCAAGCTGACGCTCTATCCATTGAGCCAAACCGGTTTGGGCCCATAACAACTTTTTACTGGACACACATATTAACCCATCAGCACCTGTGTTCTAGTCACTGGGCTAGAGAGAGGTCTCTGGGAGGTCAGATGAGTGGCTGTGGTTGGAGAGGCAAAGACAATTAATGAGGGAGGGCTGGGGGCCTTGGAGTGGGCTCCCCAGAGTCACAGGCAGAGGCTATTGGGGGGTGCTCTCCAGAGACACCTGTGGGGAAGGGTGGAAGGCATGGGTGGGAGACGCTCACCCACAGTGAGTTTCACCAGATCCAGTGGGGTCTCTGGGGCTGCATGACGCTTGAGAGCTGTTTCAAACTGAAAGGTGTCCTGCCTCCTGCAGCCATCTGACCAGGGCGCCCGTGGGAGGGGCAAGGGCCATTCCCAGAATTCCATGTGAGCAAGAGCCATTCCCAGAAAGGACAGCAGCTGGAGGGGAGGGCAAAACTAAGAGGGGGTCTGGGTGAAGCGTGCAGGCACCTGTCAGGGGGCTGGGACTGGTGGTGGCATGTGCACAGGCAGGCGCTCTGGAGGAAACATGGAAGACATGCCCAGAGCCCAAGACGGCTGCTGCTGCAGCATCTTGTTTGCACCTCTGAGGAGGAGAGCAAGCAGCTGCACGTTGCCAACAGAAGGCATCTTGCAGCTTGAGTGGCTCTGTCACTTCCTCTGCTCTCTGGGTTCCCACCCAGGACCTTTGAAAAGAGCCTCTTCTCGTCCTGTCCCGAGCCACTGTCTCAGCTGCTCATTTCGTTCTTGAAAATAAGGGGAAAAGAAAACGTACTGAGGACTGGCTCTGTGCTGGGCACCAGCCTAAGAGTGTCCGGGGCCCCCTTGGCTCCGGGAGGTGCCAGGCCCTGGCTCTGCCTGGCCCCGGAATGCCCCTCCGCTCATGCCCCGGCCTCCTCCTCCCTCTGCGCTGTGTAAGAAAGCCACCTGCCGCCTGGGCTCTGCTCCCAGAAACAGGGGTGGCGCCAGCAGCGTGGCTTCCAAGCCGGAGAGAAAAGGCCTGGGCTTCCCCCCCTGGCACAGCGGGGTCCACCACATTTCCTCTTCCTCAAAAAAAGACGCTCTTTACCAATCCCTGCCCTCCTTCTAACAAGGCTCTCTAGGATCTAATTATAGGGCTGCTCTCTGATTGCTCTTCCTGTCTTCTGCTAGGATTCCTCTCTGTGTGTCCATCGTAACGGATGGAACAGGAAGGAATGCTCGGGCGAGTCTGGGTGGGATTGCCAGTGACAGCTGTAAAAATCCTCCCCAATTATTTCAAACACACGCAGCGTACCTTCCTGCTGCCCGCCGTTCCCCTCGCGCAGCTGCTCTGCACGTAACACCGGCCTTCCTGCCTCAAAACAAGCGCTGAGACGGCTTCCCTTCCTCGCCTAAAAACACTCAGAGCTGAACGCCCTTGTCAAGGGTCCACAGGGCAGTGCCACAAAGCCTCCAGCACCGCATCCTTCCTCACTAAAAAAAAAAAAAAAAATCTTTAAAATGAGGAAGGATGGAAGGGAGAGAGGGAGAAAGGAAGGGAGGGAGGGAGGGAGGGAGGGAGGAAGGAGAGGGGCCAGTGATATTGCTCTGTGGTGCTTTTATGTCGTAAAGTGCCATAGAATATGGGGTGGGGTAAAAGTAAGTTTACAGTTAAGGAAAAAATAATGCAATCCATACTAATGAAAGGGTAATATGCTAATTAGACCAGACAGACCGGACATCTTCCGGACGTCCTTCCGGACAAAGCCACAGTGGTAGGGGCCGAGAAAGAGGGGTTAGGGGCGACCAGGCAGGCAGGCAGGTGAGCGGTTAGGAGCCAGCGGTCCTGGATTGGAGAGGGTGCAGGCCGGGCTAAGGGACACCCCCCATGCACCAGGCCTCTAGGAATTAATAAGTAATAATAGAAGAATTA